TCTGAAGTGCTGTGTGTGTGTGTGTGTGTGTGTGTGTGTGAGAGAGAGAGAGAGAGAGAGAGAGAGAGAGAGAGAGAGAGAGAGAAGGGAAAATATTTAGGATCTAGAGAGATGGCTCAAAGATTGAAAGTGCATGACATTCTTACAGAGAGCCCAAGTTCAGTTCCCGGCAAGAGGAACTGAAGTCAGGGGGCTCCCAATTACGTGTAATTCCAGCTCCAAGAAATCTTATACCCTCTTCTGACCTCCTCAGGCACCTGAATTCAATATGCACATTTCTACCTACAGACTCATAGCTAAAAATAAAATAAATGAAGGAAAAAAGAAAAAATTACATAACAAGTACTTCTGGACTGGTGATAACCCTAGGGCATCTGGCATTTTATTTTTTTAAATGGGGATTTAAACTGTTCACTTAGGCTTCAAAGTATATTGCAGGCAAAGCTATTCTGAATATTAGCTTACAATTTAAAGTTGTAAAGCTAAACTGATTCTGTTCTTCCTTAAAGACTTTAGTTATATAGCTATCATGTGCATAAACTATAAAATACTTATATTTAAGAGTATTTTATTCATAAATAGGTCCGGAAACGTAATAAAAGAACCAACAATGTAAGAACAAAGCATTGCACTGTGAAAACCAAACAGTCTTAGAAAGGACATTTTCCAAAAGTGGGACTTAGACAGCTGAAAACACAGACCTGAAACACGAGCCTTACCGAAAGGTTAAGCAGTAGATTTGAAGTATCTGAAGACAATAGTCATGCAGCTACTTACAGAATATTAGTTGCAATATAAAGAAGTCACCTACAATTCATAACTAGATAGAGAAAAAGTGAAATATAGAAAAGATTAAGCATATATGAGAAAGAGAAGAGAAAGCAAATGTGGAACAGAAGCAATGTTTGAATTAGTCATGGTAGACAAGATTCTAGAACTGATGTCAGGAATTGTCCACCAAGAAGATACACAACATGCTAACCAGGATGAACATATCACCCCTAGAAATTCTGTAATGAAAATACAAGAAATAAAGCTGAAGAGAACCTTTTCTGCATTTACTTACTCATTTATTGATGGGGTGTATGTGAACAGGCACACGTTTGGACATCAGAGGACAAGGGTCACTTCTTTTCTTCCACCATTCAGGTCCTAGGGATTGAACTCAGGTCACAGCAGTCATGGCAGCAAGTACCCTTACCTGCTGCGCCATCTCACTGGCCCCAAAGATGAAAATAATTCTTAAGACCCACCACAGAAAAAGAGGAAAATTGACAATAGACAAGCACAATTGAACTTTTGTCAGACTTTTTAACATGAACACAGAACCCTTTGACAATGCAATACTAGCTTTAAAATGCTGATAGGATTTCAGAGTACATATTATATATGAAAGAAGCCAGACTGTCACTCATGAGCATGACCAAATTAAAGACATTTCCTTATGAAAACAAAAATTGACTCAAAAGCTCTACTAAAGGAAAAAAACTAAATTCAAAATGAGAGATATGATTCAAGAAGCAGAAAATATCAAGAAAAGTAGTAAACCAGGAAATATGTATATCAGTATTGAATATGTAAGATTGTATGTTGTCATTCTTATTGCTAAATGCCAACATGCTAATAGCACTAAAAATGAAGGGGATCTAAAAGATGAGGGTGTCTCTTAAGATAGGTGTCAAAACAAAAGCAAAACAAGATTTGAGAGATTGCTACCTGATTATGGAAAACTGGTGATTCTTTAGTGTTTAAGCACCAAAAAGAAAATTATATAGAGTTTTGTGAATATGTGAAAAGATGAGTATCAAGCAGAAAATGGTGTTGTGGTTGACTGGTTGGTTTTTCATTCACTACAGAAATATAAATGGCAGAGAGCCACTGACTGGGGACAAAGAGGGTCATAAGCAAATGGAAGGTCTAACTGCCAGCTGGCCAGTGACGGGCACTTTGATCTCCAAGCTGGGTGTTAAGAAATACTAAAATAGAATAATTCATATGCAAATTATATTTTGGGAAAAAGTCTTGATAAAAATTAAAAGTTAAATTTGACTAATTTTATGTGAAGACAAACTTTTCTTTGTTTTTCTCTGAGCAGGTTAGCCAGTACACTTTTGCTATGTGCAGTTATAGAGAAAAAAAGTCTGAACCACAAGAATTAATGCAACTTGAAGGATACACTGTGGATTACACGGACCCCCACCCAGGTAATTCTAAGTGAACACTCTTCTGGTCACGCATGGATGCCTTTAACCCCTTAAGCATCTGTATCTGTTCTCCATTCAAAATTTCTCTTAATGAATAGGGAGGCTGCTTCCAAACTCACATAACTGAACAAGTCTTTGAGATTCAAATTAGGTCTTTTAGGGAGAATATTACTCTTAACCCTTATTCACTTCTCTGGTATTTTAATATAGTGACAAAATATTTAAATTTTACTGACAGGAAAATTATGTGAGAAATAACACTGCATACAGAAACTTCACTGGGAAGCAAAATTACAACAGAGTTAGGTAATGGAACAGCAAATAAGTTATGCACTGTATTCTAATATCCTCTATAACAATTCTTGTTTTTCTATCCTTCCATCTGTGTTAGTTTGAACATCACATAATGAATTTTCTGAGATCCAACATCTGAATTTTTTTAGTTCTCACATTATGCCACAGCTGGAAAATTCTACATCTGACCTTATTTGACAGGTTGCAGTCAAAGTCTAGGAACACCAAAAATATGTAAAAATGCCTTAAATTAAAGCTTAAATTAAATTGATGTTAAGACTTGGGTCTCATATATAAGATAACTCCTTCTTTGCAAATGTTCCCAAGTCCAAAATCCAACCACTCTCATATCAAGCTTTTCAAGTGGTCCTCAAGCTGTAATGCCCGTAGTACTGCTATGCTTTACAATAATGAATGAATAAATGGCTATATGAAGGTAATGAAATTAATGTAACAATGTTAAGAAACACAGATAGTAAGAATTACAGAGAATTCAAATTCTTGGGCATGGTGGTACAAACCTTTAATCTCAGCACTCAGGAGTCAGAGACAGGCAGATCTCTGTGAGTTCAAAGCCAACTTGGTCTACATAGTGAGTTGTAGGTTAGCTAGTGCTACATAGTGAGCCCCTGTCTCAAAAAAAATACCAAAAAAAAATTAAAATTTAATGTACAGAGAGAAAGTAGAAATCAGTAACTGTATTGACTAATTGTGCATTTACAGGTACAAAATACCATCTTGTTCAAAAGCTAAAATGCCATAAAAATGAGGCTCCAATTTGTCTCATCTGTGGTTTTCTTTCTCATGAACTCATCCTCTGTTTCTCCCACGTATAAAATGGTAACTATGCCAGTCCAAAGAATTTCCATCCCTGGCCCAAGATACCAGTTATACCAAGCATTTCCGTGGTGTGTGTTTACTATCTTTCAGAATGCTATCATGTCAACAGCTGATTGTTTTCCTGAGCTGTATAAGTAATTTAATTCTTTTTGGTTGTATGCCTTCAAATCACAGATTGGGGGGTGTGAGCCCCAACTAAAGCCATCTAAAGCACTGAATTGTTAATATCAAAGCTACTCATATTCATGAAGCCAAGGATAACTAATACCAAAATCTGCCAGTCAGGTAAATTTAATGATATTATTCTCCTTTCCCAGGACTTCAGGGTGGGCAGATGTTTTTTAATGCTGTTAAAGAAGGAGATACCATAATATTTGCCAGCGATGATGAGCAGGACAGAACACTATGGGTTCAAGCCATGTACAGGGCCACTGGTCAGTCTTATAAACCAATCCCTGCAGTACAGAGCCAGAAGCTGAATCCTAAAGGAGGCGTGCTCCATGCAGATGCTCAGCTTTGTAAGTAGTGTTAAAATTAATTTATCAGTTAATAACCTTAGTAAAATACAACATTGAGGCAGATTTGTTCAGCTTTATAGCTTACATCATTAATTGACTAAATAAAGAAGAGTTCTTATTAGTCATAGAATCAGTTATCTAATTTTTCACATAAATCTAGAGTGAATGATACCCGTGTTTTTATTCATTTGCTAACCATTGGCACATTGCTGGGCCTACAGTGAACATATTAAAACATTCAACTAGATGTCTCAATAGAAATACTGTTTTGTTTCTGTCATTTTAACTTGGAATCCTTATTTTTAAAAGGAGAAAATATTGCAAAAATCAGATTTGGTGATTGGGCTCCAGAATGCCCAATGCTGAAGAATCACTTTGTGCATTTGTTCTTCATACTGTGCTAGGATGAGAAGGACTGCTTCCCTACACGTTTAGATCAGTACGAGGGGCCAACTTTTCTTCTGCCTACATGTATTAATATTGCACCCTTTTTCTGTGTGCTATTAAATCCTATACCTTCCATTTTAATTCACCATTGATGAATTGCGAGTTATATAATAGTGTTAGGAATAGTTTCAAATATAATAATCACTAAACCAAATGTTTTATCTTGTTATACTTCTTTGCAAAATTCTCTGGTTTCTAGATAAATCAATTTGTCTTTATCTTTCAGCTTAAGTTGTGTTTTTATTGTCAAGATTCTCCTTCAAGGTAGTAACATCTTGACATGCATTATTTTCCTTTTTTCTTTTTCATACATGAAATAATTACTCTTCATTTCAGACATCCTTAGTGTGTCACATCTGGGCATCTTTTAAGGCTCTTCAGGCCAAATAATTAAAGGTTGAATATGAGTTCCTTTTCTTTATTTTTTTTAAAAACCATAGACTATATTCATAAATTATCTAAATTACCTTGAGGCATTTAAAAAATTATGTACTATTTTGAAATACTACATTTTAATTTTGTTTTTCATTCTTCTTTTAGATTAGCAGTATAGGTGCTAGAAAGACAGCTCAGTGGTTAAGAGCCCTGGCTTCTCTTCCAGAGGACCAGCATTTGATTCCCAGCACCCACACAACAGCTAACAACTGTCCACAACTCCAGTTCCAGGGAATCAGGCATTGCACACAGAGGTGCACTTACATGTACATAAAACATTAATACACAGAAAATTAAATAAATAAATAAATAAAGTAGCAATATAATATCATCTTCAAGAATAAAAATAATACATTATAATATAGAGTTTGCATTTCTGCTTTCTCTTTACCATCTTGGGTCCTATACATAGAATATAGAATGGTGGATAAGAATGTGACTTGACTTCTCTATAAATAAATATCATAAATTTCCATTTATAATGTTGCTACCATATTTAAGCTCTTCTCGGTTATAATTTCAGCCATTTTTGTCCTCCCCTTTCTTGTTTAAAAAAAAAAAAAAAACTGGAGTAAATGAATTAAATCCAGCGGAAGTAAGCTAACTTTCAACAGCCCTGCCTGTAGACTTTAGCTCAATTGTTTTCTAACCATAATGGCTTAGGACAGAAAGTTCTCCTGGCTCACACAATAGACCTTCCCTGATATCTGGAAATAAGATCCACATAGTCTGTATTCATCTCTCAACAGCTTGGGCACCTTCAAATCCCTTACTGTACCATTTACAGACTTTTCCAGAGTGGTGCTTAGTGACATATAAAGGACTCTCTGGTATACTGTGGAGTCCAGAGAACTCTAGGTGAGAATGCCAGGTTAGATATGTTGCTCTGGCAGGGCACAGGATCCCATCAGCCTTCCTTGAGAACATTTTCCTCCCTCTGTGTCTTTCAATTGCTCTTACCAGAGCTCATTATTGAATTATTTTGTTCCCTTTGAATGATCTATACTGTATTTCCTCATGATTTTTGATTCTTTGTAAGCAAAACTGAGCATTTGGAAATCAGTGTCTTTTCATATGCATTGACCAAACTCTGTCCCTTTCCCCATGAGATACAATCTCACAGTATTTGATGTAAACTTCCTTTGCCTTCTTGCAAATACATGTTTTATATGTGGGCAGTCAGTGTCTCATAAGTGAAACTGAAATATCCTACTCTGAATGTTTCTCATTCAACCATGTGTTTGAAATTTTCATTCATGCTTTTACGCAGGTGCCTAATCTCATTCCACATTTTCCATTTGGCGAGTGCTCTGATAATGGAGTGCACCTGCCTCTTTGCACCTGTTATGTTTATGTTACTTTTTGCCTGTTCATTTTCACAGAAAAAAGAGACCCAGAATGCATCCAAATTCTTACCTGAGTAACACTGAATTATTTCAACTACAACTATGAAATGTATCTTCACTTACTTAAAACTTCCAAGGCCATTTTATATTATTCTCTACTCTATAGACTTTTATTCTTACCTAATTTCTAAAAATGTCATATTTATATTGCTGTTATTTCTCATTTTTTCCTGTCTTTTCTAGTTGGCTATTTTTTTATTACAGAATTGCTATTTTTCTACTTTTAAGCTGCCAGGACATTTTTCTTTTTAATTAGCATATGTTAATCATACATAATAATGAATTTCATTAGAACACTTTCATACATGCGTATATATTTTTATCATATTTTCCCCTCATAGCTCTCTCCTGCTCCCTCCCTCTCCCTCTCCTCTGAACCCTTTCATATTTCCCAACTATTCCGCTTATGCTTTCAAAGTTTTGTATTCTTATATTTTCTTATTGATTTGTACATGTGACCCATTGTGTTTCACCAGGAGTTCTTTCAGGATCTTGGGTGATGGAATATTTACAAGAGCATGTATTCCTTACCAGTGACTGCACCACTGAAGAAAATGGCTCTTCGTCCTCTAGTGAAATTAACTTCCTTTAAATACTCAGGGAAGCATGAGGTCTTGTGTGTCTCAGAGGAAAGCATTCAACCACACTCCTCTTCTTACTCTTTCTCTCATCCACTCTAGATTCTTTCCACCTGTTCTTCCACAATGTTCTCTGATCCTAGGAGGAGATAAAACAGTTATCTCATTTATGGCTGAGCACTCAGCAATCCCTTAAATTCAGCAGTTTGATCACTTACAAATCTCTGCATTTACTGCTGCCCATTGTAAAAGGGAACATCTTACACCAAGGTTAATGGCTATACCAATCCATGGGCATAAACATAATTCTTTAGAAGCATATCATGTCAATTTAGCAGAAAACATTAGGAGCCTCTCCACTGTGGCCTATGACTTCCCAAGTCATGGGTTTTTGACCAGGCTATAGTACCAAAGGTGAATTCCCTTCTGTTGAATAGGCCTTAAATCTAACCAGAAAGCAATTGATCACCCCTATTACTTACTTGCCACTATTTCATCCTTGGATCTTTCTTGCCTGGCCATTCAATAGTATAACACATGGGTTCCAGAACTCAGTAAGGCTGTTGATGACAATTCTCCCCCAGTCTTATTAATAGTAGTTGAGGAAGTTTCTGTCTTGGTACCAGCTATGTTTCTCTAGGCCTTTCAACCAATGTGTGGTGTCTTCAGCAATAGAGTCTTACCATCTAGTTCTGGTGGGCAACCAACAGACATAGCAAATGCCTGTATTGTTTGGGGGCCTCAAAGGCCTGCCAACAACTTGTAGGGATGTAATACACTTCTGGCACTGAAACTTTCATTTAATACCCTGTGGCTTTGGAGATGCTGTTCTTATGCGGTAACTTGCTGTTTATTCATCTTCTTTATTTACTTGTCTTTACAAATATTTTGTCATTGGGTTATTTTCTTATTGTTGAGTTTTGAGAGATCTCTGTATATTCGAAATGTAAGATATTTAACAGATATGTTAATTGGAAAATATTTTCTCATCTGTCTTATTTTATCATGTATGTTAATATTGCCTTTCAAAAGAAAAAAATATTTAACTTTAATGAAGTCCATTTTCTTTCTTCTCGTTGGTTGGATTTTGTTTTTGTCTTTAAGATAATGTCTCATGATGGAATGCACAACTTATCATCATCCTGCCTTTTAGATTCTGAAATTACAGACCTGCCTTCTTTATTTCCTTAAATATATGCTCCTTCTATATGTGCTAAAGTATCCAGAAAAAAGTAACTTAAGGAAGAAAAAGGGGATTTTTGGCTCACAGTTTAAGGTATAGTCCCTCACTGAGGGGGAAATCAAACGAGCAAAAGCTTGAATCAGCTGGTCACATGGCATTCACAATCAGGAGGAGGAGAACAATGAAATGAGCTCAGTTCCCTTTCTGCTCTCTGTACAACCTGCGATATCACCCCTGGTAATGGTGCCACAAGCATGCGGAAAGGCCGAAGTCTAGATCTCATCAAGTTGACATTAAGATTAACCATCACAGTACTGTTAATATTAAACTAAGAATTCTTTGCCTAAAACAATACCATAAATGTACTTTTAAATTTTTTCACATCTTTTAAATTTTGCAGTTGAGAACTGGGCATCAGTGTTCGCAGGTATCATGTAGGCGCCTGGTGAGTTGAAAAGACTGCCCTTGCACTTCTGTCAAAATCAGTTGACTACATATGAGTAGGTTTCTGGACTCACCTTTCTTTTCCTTTGGTCCTTTTGTCTGTCTTGATATTCTGACTATACTTGATTACTGTAGTTCTGTAAACTACAAAATACTGGACCAAAAGAAGACCTTCCTAATATGTTCTTCTTTCTCAGAGATATTTACCCGCATCCTGTGTATTCGACTTTTGTATGGATATTTTATGACATGAAGAACTTCTGCTGACTTTTTCCCTTACAATCAGTTCTGATGATGATTAATTCCTTCACTTTTTTGCATGCAAAAAATACTTTTATTTTGAAATTTTCTCTTTAAGTCCTTTAATGATTTTGTTTTCTCTTCTAGCTTTCATTTTGTTCTTGCTTTAGGTTTTTCCTCTTCCTGTATCTTCTTTCTCTCCAACTTTTTACCAATTGCCATATTGATGGTGTTTTTGAACTGTTCAGTTATGTGTTTTTATTTAGT